TTTGTATTTTCCCAGCTCAGCTTGATGACAAAGTCTCATGCCACAGACTCAAAATCTTTTGTTGGATGCCTAGAAAAATGGCCAGTATGACACAATAGAGGCATTATTCTGTTTGTATATGTCTCACATACAGCTTTTAGAAATGCCTTGCCATCGTTGAGAGATCAGGATTTTAGCTGGAGGCAAGACCAACAACGTGTGGCAACCTGGAGGACAAGATGGGAAGCTCTGAGAGCAGGAATAAAGGAAACCAGAAGTCCTAGGTGTGAAATTAATGATGCGTTAGGAAGAGTTAACAAGTACAAAATCCTTGAGAAGATGAAAGGAAATGAGGAAATCGACCATTTGCGTGTCGTTAACGATATACATGACGACACAGGCGTGTCAAACGATAATCGCCGGCACTATGTGCATGCCGTAATGTATACACAGCACATTGTAGAGTTCCTAACATATACACAACACATACGGTGTAGTAAAGATACTAGGCATAATGCATTCGATGTGTAACATTATACAAACACCATTTAGCATGTCGTACATATAAAAACCATAGTTGTGTCGTACATGATATACACACACAATAGCATGTCGTAAAACATTACACAACACCATAGTTGTGTCGTAACTATAGCCTCACACCATAGCATGTTGTAACAGATACCTAGACACTATGTATTGTAACTTACACAAACCATAGACTGGGTCGTAACATAATAAAACATCATAGACGGTGTCTTGTAACGATACCTCAGCTGTAATGCAGTATTGTAACATGTAACAATACCATGAGCGTTCTTGTCATACTATACAAACTCACTAGCGGTGTTGTAACAGAATACTCAGCGCTAATGCATATTGTAAACATGTACACAATACCATAGACGTGTCCGCTTAACATGTACACAATTTACCATAGCGGGCGGTGTAGTAAACATGTACACGAGAATAGAGCGTGTCATAACAGATACGTCACAGTAACGCATATATGTACGTTGTTAACACAACACGCTAGCATAGCGTGTCGTAACATGTACACAACACCATAGCGTGTCGTAACATGTACACAATACCATAGCGTGTCGTAACATGTACACAACACCATAGCGTGTCATAACAGATACTCACCACTAATGCATATTGTAACATGTACACAACACCATAGCGTGTCGTAACATATACACAACATCATAGCGTGTCATAACAGATACTCACCACTAATGCATATTGTAACGTGTACACAACACCATGGCGTGTCGTAACATATACACAACACCATATCGTGTCGTAACATGTACACAACACCATAGTGTGTTGTAACAGATACCTAGCCCTAATGCATATTGTAACATGTACACAACACCAGTCATGGTGCACGCATGCTCTTCCAACACCGTTCAAATTTCAACATCGTTTTAGCCTTTCTTTCTAAATAATGCACTGATGCATATTGTAACATGTACCCAGCACCATTACAAATCAAAGCATCTACACAACACCAGTCATGGTGCATGCATGCTCTTTTAAATTTTAACATTTCAAAACACATCCTTCCTGTCTAAATGTTGCAGGGATGGCTCGGCCGTGGAACTGGTTGGACTGTCCAAGTCCGCACTGCGATGGCTCATAGAGATGAACAAGAAGGGCCTGTATCCATACGACACTCTTGAAAAGACGGTAGACGGTACGTATGCCCTAGCGCTCCCATTTCTTGGATTCCCCTCGAAATTCGTACGTCTGTATGATGCCTTGTGGTTTCGTGTGGAAACCGTATAATGTAGCGATTCTCGCACTTTGGCAGTGGCTCCAGGATTTCTTGTGAGATTGGCAATCGATACCACTCATTTTTGCATTGGGGAAGAAAGTGAGAAAAGCCAGTGCTGTCTGTTAGTGATGCAACACAGTGCTTGCTCAAAAGATGTTGATAATTACTAATACTATACTTACTTGTATAATGACTAATTACCTTTTGTTACCTGTGTATGGCGACCAAGTGGTCATGAATCGCTGGAGCACATTAGTGAGATTTTATACGTAGTGTTGTATTGTCACCCTGTTGTCACCGCATTGTCACCACGTTGTCATTGCATTGTCACTACGCCTTGTCACCGCGTTGTTGCCACATCGACACCGCATTGTCACCACATCGTCACCGTATTGTCACCACCTTGCCACTGCCTTGTCACCGCATTGTCACCGTGATTCCGTGTCCGCTTCCCTCAGGTGTGGATTATGGCAACGATGTACTTACAGGCAAGACGGTGAAGCTGACCTACAAGCAGTGGGGTGTGCGCATCCAGCAGAACTTTGAGAAGTACTTCTGGATCAACACCACCAGCGTGCCGGAAGTCGAGTTAACGCCAGAGCTCATCAACCGCCGAGGCATCTACAAGGTACGCCTCGGTCGAAAGTTTGGCGCGAGTTTGTAATTCGGACGCATTCATGGTCGGGTGGTAGTGAGCTGGCAAGCAAGCTTGTTAGTGTTTCACTGACGAGGTAAATAACGCATTCACTTAGCTGCACATCAACTGTATAGGACGGGTAGTGGATATCTAAAAGACATTGCAGTCAGACCGTTAGCAGAATCTAACTGGTGAGATGGTGGGATAGCAAAGAGGTGTATGAATACCGCGTGTATTTTGCTACACACACATCTTTAAAGACAGGTAGCCGCTAGGTAAGGGTAGACAAGCTGACTATTCAGATTTCACTTGCAGGAGGTGAGGGGCTGACAGGCGTAAATGTATTGATGTCACTTCCCTGTTTACGGTAGATAGTAGGCTTTGGCAGTAGTGCCAACCCTACGTTTCTATATGCGTGTCCCCTGCAAAATTCAGTCGGTGACTGAAATATAAGCTGCGCGCCAACCCTATGTCCCAACATATTATATATGCGTGCCCCCTGAAAAATTCAGTCGGTGGCTGTAGCATGAGCTCTGCGTGCAGTATAGTATAGTGCAGTATCGTACAGTGCAGTATAGTACAGTGCAGTATAGTATAGTGCAGTATGGTATAGTGCAGTATCGTACAGTGCAGTATAGTATAGTGCAGTATAGTACAGTGCAGTATAGTATAGTGCAGTATGGTATAGTGCAGTATCGTACAGTGCAGTATAGTATAGTGTAGTGATGTCACGATCATCGATTATACTCGATCATCGGTTGAACAGTGGCTCGAACCAAGCGCTTGGTTATCAAAATCCATAATCCATTTCATCCAAAAAAAAAAATCGCTATTATACAAGTTATCCTTATTAACATACATGTA